CCACTCCCGTGAATAAGGCCGAGAACAAATGACCGCACGCGTCCCGGGACATCATTACAGGAGAGGGGGCATCTAAGACACTAGCTCTTATATTGCCCACCCGTCCAGCTCAGTGCAATCCTGGATGCTATGGGGCAGAGACCAGTCCCAACGGTGCCCGGATCCTTCCCTGCCTGACTTTGGATGTCCTAACCTTGTGTCGAAACCTTGCGAAGACATGCTCCGCTTGCCTCCCCACCCCCTTCAAATAAAGCCTGGCGCTCCTGTTTGCAGTCACAACGCAGCTCCTCTAAACACCTTTCACGAAGGAACCGAGAGCAAACAAATCTGTGCGGAGGGGTCTCCCGGGGAGCCCGGAGCACCGCGCTCTGTACACAGACGTCCCCCTGCCAGCGCACAGCCCATTACACAGCTGCTGCTGGCCACCCGCCTTCCTTATCGCAGTTTGTACAGTTGGCAGCCTGAACCCCTTCCCAGCACGCGGGGGCTCTCCGGGAAGTCTCCTCCGCCTGCACCCGCCAGAACGGGGGGCTGAAACAGCAGCCCAAGGGGGTGACGGACCAAGGCGATAACCTTGTTTTGTAAATCTCAGCGTCTCGCTTTTGTTTCCTTTGCATCCGACTCTGCCGGAGAGGAGCGAGTCACGTGGCACCTCGGAGAGTCCAGGCATGTGACAGGGAGGGCTGTTTTTTTGAGAGAGACAGGGGCCCAAGTGCTTGTACGCTACTGGACGGACAGGTTTCTTCACCTGGGTTACAAATAATACCAGAAGGGATCTTTGGGACAAGCTCACAGACCCCAGGAGCCTAATCCTATTTGCTTTATGGCATGCGCATAGCTGGAGAACTACAGCCTGGGGCCCGTGTGCAATTCAGATCTGCCCATGCAGGCCTCCCAAACGCACTTTCGTCCACCTCACCTCCAGGAGAAGATCAGCCAAGGTCAACAGTGCAGTCTCCGTACTGTACCCAGAAAGCAAGTCAGACCGACAGCGGCCCAGGGCCCCTGAAGCATCCAGATGTGTTGGAAGGTGTTGGGCAACCCCCCTGCAATGACTTCCCCAGACGGAGGGGTTTGGAGACAGGGCGGTAGCTGGCTGGGAGTCAATGCCAAGAGATGCTTTTCCGAGTAGGGGCTGGAGAGCCGCAGACTCAAGCCCATGCGACACCGTCCCCTCCAGAAGGGAGGCCCTGCCAGCCCCTGCCAGCAATGGCCCCGTCTCCCCGACCTGCCACCTGCACCCCCCAAGCACATCCCCTGCGCCCGCAGGTGACGGCCACTGCAACTGAACCCGACACGACTGAGTGTCCACAGCCCAGAGGATCCCAAGCCCTGAATCTGGCGGCAACTGAAGAGTTCATCTGGATCTTGGCAGGGACGCCTCTCCCAGCATCCCACCCCCCCCAGCTGCTCCACACAGCAGCTGCCTGTGCCATTTGTGGCCACCCCTGGTCTCGACCCTAGGTCTCCTGTTCTCTACCCACTAGGCTATCCTCCCCCTCCCAGCATGCATGCTCCCACAGCAATCCTACGCTTCCATGGGGCAAAACAGCATCCCAGACTGTGCATACGTGCCAAAACCTGCAGGTCCGTAGCTGCGCACATGCCCTTCGGGTGCCTGACGTGATGTAGAGCCTAGCCCCCGGCCGTCACGACCCAGCCTGCTTTCTGTTCACCAAAGGGGAACAGAGGAGTGAGGTTCCCTGTGGTTTATTCAGCTTCCAGTCAAGGATGCCACGTCTGGGCTGCAAAGGATGCACCAGCACGAACTCCCAGTCCAGGATGTTTTCACAACATTTCCAGGCACCGCTGCTGCAGAGGAAGCTCCTCTCCCGCTGTGGCCACCTCTGCACCCCCCGCCCCCCCTCGGCCGCCGTTTTGTGAGGTCGGTAATGCACCGGAGCCCGACCCTCCCTGTTAAAGCATAGTTAGGAGGCAGAGAGAGACTTACCCTTGCAGGAATCCCTCTGCTCTTCGAAGCCAGCACTGCAAACACACTTCCCAATAGGCACCAGCCATTCCCCCTCTGCACTGCAGTACATCTTGGGGGTGTCTCTCTCCTCTGAGTGCCCCACACACTCGCCCCGCACCTCCACCAGGGAGGAGGAGTCCGCTCCAGTCACCGCCTCGGAAAAGGATGCCAGGTTCCTCACCATGGCTGGGCACTTCTTGTAGTACACCCTGACGGACACGATGGCGATGCAGGCGCCTATATCCTGGAAAGCCAAGTAAAAGCCCCGCTTGCTCAGGGGCCCCACACCCCGCACCTCAGTGTTTAGCTTGAGCCGCCTGACCCCCAGGTCCACACTGGTGAAGCTCTCATCAGCTGCGATGGTATCGATCTTCACAAACTGGCTCTCGCGGGTGCTACTGCCCAGGTCCCGGTCAGACTCCAGGTAATAGAGGTTGAAGGTCTCTTTACAGGTGCCCAGCACCCCCGGCATACTGTTACAGTCCCGCAGGGTAAACTTAATCTCAGCATAAACCCGTCGGGCACCGTCCCGTTGGACCCAACTGGTCCGCAGCCAATTGTTCTGGTTCGGGGTCATGACATTACAGACCTGATAGGTGTGGATGGGGCTGAAAAATTCATCCATTTCATTGATAGAATCCCACTGTGGGACAGAGAGGGGAGAGGTTAGTATTAACATCGTCACCTTGCACGCGTCGATAGACTCTCGCAGGGCACGGGGCAAGGGTTAGTGTCGACGTGCCCAGCTTCTGCTCAGGGCTGGGATGCTTCTGTCGAAGGGCGTGCATGGGGAAGAGAGGTTAGCACCAACACCCTCCCACTAAAACAACTGCAGGCTAATGTGCCTGTGCACCACCGAGCGTTGCGAGGGGACTCTCCAAAGTGCCAATGGGCTTTAGGAGTGGAAGAGCCACTGAAATAAAAACCACTGGGATTTCTAAATTCCGAGTTGCCCTGGTTCCTGTGTGTCTGCTGCTCGCTTTTGCCTTTTCAAGCAGTGTTCGCTTCAGCAGAATGGCAGGCATGACTGGGGAGGTGCAGAGGCCCCTGCTACACATTACATCTCTCATGCAATTAATCAGTTAATCATGCAATCAAGTCAGACCAGCCACACATGCAAAATAAAACCGGCCACAGGTGCAAAGTAATTATCACACAATGAACTGGTTAACCACACAATACATTTAGACCCATCACACAGGCAAAGGAATGATTGCACCATAAAAAGGACGGTCCAGCTATAACCCCCCCCCACCAACTACAAAGTTAGTGCTTGAAAATGGGTGACAGCTTTATAGCTGGTTTCTATCTGGCTTTAATTTGAATGTGTGGCTGGGCCCTGGGTGAGAAAATGGTGATGGCAGAGGGCCAGAGCACCCCCGGCACAAGGTGTCTGTTCCTGCCCCATTGCTCCACAGAACGAGGAGCGTGCATTAGTGCACCCGTGAGCCAGATTCCTCCTCTCCCATCTGGCAGCCTCTACAAGCCTGCAGGGTTTGGGAGCCAATGCCTAGGGCCACGGTTGCTTTCCGTCCCATCTAGCTAAAGGAGCAGGTTCTGGTTTGCTCCCTTGGCAATGGGGAACGGGGAGGCCATAAAGCAGCCAGAGCCACTACAGGAGGGCCCGGGCCCTGGCACCCCCTGCAGACCTGAGCTCCAAGAAACCTGCAATAAACCTACGCAGGTTCCCTCAGAGAGACGGGTGTGCTCGGTCCTGTCGATACCCAGTGCAAGGGGCTGCCCTCTCCTCCACCCAGCCCACCCATGTTATTTTGCTTTCGCCCCTGCTCTCATCTCTTGTTTCCCGATCCACTTGTCCCTCTCCCCAGCCCCAAGGTGGTCCCAGTGCACCGAGACCACCCCAACGGGGAACCGCAGAGGAGCAGCGCAGGGGCCAGGCAACAAGCAAAAGGGCCCAAACACCAACTCCCATCCTGCACTTTGAAACAACTTGGCCCCAGCCCAGGACACCCTCTCCACACGGACAACGGCCCACGCTCACTCCTTGCCTGGTATCAGAGACCTGGACTTGGCAATGGACCCGTGGCATCGGGCAGAAGTGCCCACACCAGGGGTGGATGTGCACGAGTGAGTCAGGCCATTGGTTATTCTTGCTGGTGCGTGCCCTTGCTTTGTACCGGGACTCGGAGCATTAGCTGCTGACGCTGCCCTGCCACTGCCAATCACGGCTGCGGTGAAGGAAGCAGAGCAGGAAAACAAATCTTTTAGGCAGCATTTCAAGTACGTTACAATAAACCTCTAGCTCTGCTCGAACTTGACACGAGCCTTGTTTCACATTCTGGGGATGACCCACGGTTCATTACAGACACAAACCTGACAACAGCCGAGCGCGCGCGCGGGCCTGATTCGCATTGCACACAGAGGTAGAGCTGGAGACTTTGCTCCAGCGTCCGCGTGAGCGGGTGAGAAATGCAGATCCACGGCAAAAGGGAGCCCGACCCCCGTTTGCGAGAGGGCTGCCGAGGCGACCCCTCCTCCCTGTGCAAGGGCTAGGAATGACTCCAAGGATCAGAGCACCTGGTACTACAGTCACAGCCCCCGTGAATACTTTGACTCTGTGGATCAAACTCAGGAGACAGGGGAAGGATGTAGGGCTTTGAAAAGGGGGGTGCAGATGGTGTGCTGCATCCTCACATACAACACAATGAATGTTTTTCTCCATTTAAGAGAAACTAGGTGGTTTGCTAGTACGCTGGGAGGCTAGAACTACATTATTCAGTTTAAGATAAAGCAAAAACAAAAGATAACTATTGGAATATACAGTCTAACAAACGGATGCATGTTAAACTAAAAAAAACCCACAATAAACTAGGCAAAAATGAGCCAAAGTAGTCAGCAGATATTGTGTCATTAGTCCCACAGTCATTATAGTTAAATGTACATCTTTTATTCAGAGTCATAAAACAGAATCTAGCCTTTTTGCTGGTGCCTCCAATACTTCACTGTCAGTCATTTCTACCCCTGAATTCACAGGACCACAGCTGAGTTAAGGTTTTTAGCTAGAGCTAAAAACAGTCTGCAGGGCTGTGAAATAAAAGAGAGACATTACCCAGAACGGCTAACAGACAGACAGCAAAATTGCAGAAGAAAGGATAGTTTGAAGATCGGAGCATCGTGGCCATTAAGAAGGAGAGAGGGCCGTTAACGCCCGTGGAGCGGAGAGAGATTAACAGGAATCAGGGAGATGACAAGCAGCCCTGAGGTCAGTCGGCTCCCTCAGCCCTGCCTGAATAGAAATGCCGCAGCCCCTCCTAGGCAGCTGGTTTTAAAGTCTGGGTAGACCAGAAATCAAACTGCTTCTGAGACCACAGAGGTCCGACACGGGGGTCGGACTCGATGATCTGTTGAGGTCCCTTCCGACCCGAGCATCTATGACGTGGCCTCGGGGCTCCTACCTGGGTGCCACTCGGCAATGGGGCTTGTGAAAGCATGGCTCTCTCGAGCAGCCCACGGCCTCATGACGTGCACGGGGGGCATTAAGTGACACAGTGCTGCCGGGGTGGCCCAGTGCAATAAAACACTGCACCGCTCTGGCTGCGTGGAGTACCACGCTACACGGGCCACTGCAGCACACGGCACGACAGCACTGCCACGTCGTCCAGCAGTGCTGGGGTGTCCAGTGCACGGCTCAGCACACCACCCGGCTCTCCCGGCCGTACCACTCTGCATCTCCCTGTGCCCGTCTGTGTGATGGCGGTGGTGATGGTGTTAAAGCCCTCATCTCAATTAATTGAGCACAAATTAACACAACATCTGCTTTCTGTCGTTTTCCTCCCAAAGCCCCTGTGAAATTAATTGTAATTGGAAGCTGGAAAATACACACCAAATAGTGTCGCTGGGGAGTGCAGCAGTGCCAGGCATGTGCCCTGTCCCCGCGCTCGCTGGCAGACGGAGTCGCTGGCTCCCTGCTGTGGGGTGTCAGTGGGAACCACGGCTCTGGGCGCACGACCCACAGGGCTCTTTGGGAAAGGCGCACAAACCTGAGAGGCAACTGCATGCAGAGAAATGCCCCGTCTTCCTACTAGTGCCGTTAGCTCTCAACCACAGCCTCCCTGATCCTCGCTGCTGGGCCAAGGCCTCTCCGCAGCGCAGCTGAGAGCCTGCAAATTCAGCTCCTGCCACAGACGTGAGCTGGCAGCCCAGCCTAGCCTCCTTGCTGGTTTCCACCAAGGTCACTGGGCTACAGGGGACTGTCCTTCATCCGATTCCTTGCCATAGGGTCTCCAGCCAATAAGACCATCTACCTGTTTGGATCTTGCCTTGCCTGGTCCCCGTCTCTACCGTGCAGTCTCTCTGGCTCCCAAGACCAATGCAGGGCACGGTGTGGAGCAGAGGGCAGGCCTGCAGCAGCCCCAGACTGGCATTTCCTGATGGCTTGGTGGCACCTTCCTCTTCGAGGTGTCTGACAGCTCCCAAAGCAGCATTTTTACCCTTGACTGCAACGTTGCTGTTGGAAAGCAGAAGGCCTGAGAAGTGCAAGGGGGAGTCTGGCAGGTGGGCTCTCTAGTGCTGCCCTACTTCACGATCCCGCTGCCAAGCACAGCCCCTGCAGCCTTCCCTCGTTCATCTGAGCAGGTCTCTTTTCCTAGAGATATTTGCTGATGTGCATCCTGGGCCTCCGGGCTGCCAGTCCATGTGTCCACCGCTCTCTCCTCTCGCTCAGGGGCTCAGAGCCGTGCAAGTGCTTTTTCCTGCAAGGACTTCTCAAGCTCAAGTTCTCCGGTCCTTTAATGAGCATTAGTCCGTGTACAGAAGGGAAGACAGCACCACGGTGCTCCAGTGGGAGCTGGGAGGCGATGAACAGAGCGAGAGCACTGCCTGTCACAGGTCCCTGCAGATTTCAGCATGGCAGCAGGGGCTCTTGTGCTCTAGTGCCACCGGGATCCCACCCCCTGCACTGACAAGGGATCTCTGGGATCGAGGTAGGATCTTTGCCTTGGGATTCCTGCCACGGGACCCAGTTGCCTGTCCAGGACAAACCCCGTGCGGCTAAAGTCTCTCCTTGATCACGTTTGGACAGAAGGGCCCCTGCTCAGGCCTCTGACCGTGGTACTGAAGCGTGGGGTGGGGAGAGCGCTGCACTGAGACCGAGCGCTGCACAGCCTGGGGGAAAGCGCGTCCTGCTGCCCGATGCCTGCAGGACCCGGGCTGTGGCAGCCGTCTTTGTGCACCGTGCATGAAGAGCCACCCTGCTGCTGGTGCAGGAATCGTCGCCCTGCTACGGCTGGGGTGCAGCGGTGGGGAAGGGTGCAGCTCCCTGGGTCAGGGCTGCCCAACTTCCACGCAGACAGGGGACACGTGAGCTGCGGCAGAGAGGGGTGTACTCATGTGAGCCATGCCAGCCCTTGCACTGGGTGCGCAGACAGCAGACCCCACACCCAGCGCTGCACTGCACTGCACACGTGGGCAGTCCTTCCCTTCCTCACCAGCGTTGCAAGGCACTTGTAGAGCAGACCCACTGCGCACAGCTCAGCCCTTTTACTGAGCTGCAATGCTACAGTTGTGGGAGGAACGGTCCCGGAGCCAGAACAACCCTCAGTGCTGGCAACAAGGGTGAGGACAGCAGCGAGTGGGTGCACCCAACTGCTGCACATTTGCACGCGGGAGAAAGGTTCAGGATCA